GGGCCCCATCAGCTGTTTAGACCTTCATCAGTGTCCACCTATGGGTGTTTCTACCTACATTTCTATATGACACTACATGGCTTGGTCAGATTCATGCTGGAATTGAGTGACAGAACTGTGACCTGTCAGTCATACAGTCTTAGAAAGAAGTATGTGCTTGGTCAGAGTAGGCTGAAAGTGTGGAAACTTTAACAACAATGTTTATTGTAATGGTCATGTTAAGAAAACCTTGACATGTCATTAGTTAATATATATGTCCTGTCTTTTTGTAGACTATGCTGTGCATGATTTTGGAGACCTGACCTTCAAGCATCTGGAAAAAGATGAGCACTTTATGCATGTGCCATTCCCACGCACAGTTGGACGTGCCAATCAGCTGCTGTCGGGAGCTGTGAGTGGTGCGGTGGGGGCGGGACACACCTGCATCATGTTGGGGGGAGACCATAGGTACACAATTTTTGACTTACAATCTTTGCTTTTTATGTCAAATTTTGGGCTAAAAATACAAACTTTTATCTACAAAGCCTTTTAACTTGGTATAGTTATAAGTGTTTATCATGGAAAATGTCAGTGTTAATAATTAGTTACTTATTCCACTAGTCTTTCCATTTATGTCTTTTTGGCACAAGCACAAATGAATGTTGTGGCGCTCTGGCTAAACTGAGATCAGTTTTATCACTTTGTTTCTGAAAGGTCAAGGTTTGTCTTTTAGACTCAAGAAGCTGTTTGTATTTCCAGTTAGCTTAATCCAAAATGTTCTAATCAAAACGGGTCTGACAAATGAAAAAATTCAATGTAGTCTCAGACTGTTTTGAATTTGTTCTATTAAAGGCCAAAATCATCCAACATTAACATTTGTAATACTTTCATCCCTGCAGCTTAGCGATTGGTTCAGTGGAAGGTCACGCTCAGCAGTGCCCTGACCTGTGTCTGATATGGGTGGACGCTCACGCAGATATCAACACTCCTCTGACTTCACCTTCTGGAAACCTCCACGGCCAGTCTGTAGCATTCTTACTTAAGGACCTGCAGAACAAGGTGATTAGCATCCATGCACAAAATTACATCAACAGTTAAAAGAAATGTTGATATCATGTAATCATTGACATGGCTTTAATTCCTTTATCTCAAATGAGGTAACACTTTTACATGATTTTTCCGCTTACAAGTAATTTGTCCCCAGAAATCTCTAAGCTTTGTTCTTTAGAACATCTAAAGCCATTATCTTCTGCTTTCTTACCTGCAGATGCCAGAAGTTCCTGGATTTTCTTGGATGAAGCCTTTCCTGTCTGCCAGAGATCTGGTCTACATTGGCCTCAGAGATGTGGATCCAGGCGAGCAGTAAGCACACTATGTTCTGTCATCCAGGATTTGGCACCTGTTGCCTGTTCTCTAAA